CCTCCTTGGAAGATTTTGGAAACAAGTGGACTCTGGTCCCCAATGCTGGTTTTCCTCTGCTCATAAGTGAGCCTGGCAATGATGAGAAAAGCCCTCTTCACAATTTCATGTCACCGAAGGATTTTGCTGCGGGTGATTGACGTTCAGCTACCATTTTCAAATGCCAAGCTCCAGGAGAGGGAATTTTGTTTGTGCCATTTCATCCATACGAGAGGGAGGCACGTGAAACCTCCCCAGTTGACAGATGAAGAAATCAAAGCATGCAGAGTGAAGAGTGAAGTTGTGGAGCAAGGTGGTGGGGAGAAGATCAGAAATCAATCCGAGGTCTGTCCAGCAGCCAAGCCAATGTCACACTCAGCCCATGCCAGTCTATAAGGGTCTACTGAGCAGCACAAAGAGTCAATGCACTTGGCTGCCAATTAAAAGGTTAGATGTTCAAGTCTCCCCTAAGGCATCTCATAAGAAAGGCTTAGCAAACTACTTCCACTGAAGACACTACAGAGCAGGGTTCTAACATGCATGAAGCTAACATGAGTCAGAATTCACTCAACAGTACCTGGCCAAATTACTGGTCTCTTCTGTACAAAGACAAACTGTGTGGAGTCTTAGAAAGAGGTGGACTCTTTGAGTCTGCAGAAATAATCTCATCACCTTTGTTCAAGTCAACACTTCCACCACCCAATTGGATTTTTTTGTTCTTCCAAATTGGGTTTTTAAAGCCATGTTGGGATACCTGCATAGGACTCTCTGAAGGGTTGTCCTCCATCGCTGCCCTCACCTTTCCACCCTTTCCTCAAAGGACTTTGAGTGTGCCACCTAATTCCACCAGGACCCTGACCAGTGCAAAAAATGTGCAATAATAATAAAGCATAGGACCAAAATGAGTATCTGAGTCCACCACTAGAACGTGACTCACATCACGTCACACATCAGCACACCAGTGTGCAGCTAATCCCACTGTCCTCTTGAATGCTGTGTCCAACATTCCTTTGCTTTAAAATAAATTCCCTTGGCCAAGATGTTTTACGAGAATGAAAAAGACATCATCAGTTACAAGAAGTAGAAGCTGTATATTTATTTGTGGGTAGCGTACTCTGCATTCCAAATTCCTTACTCATGGATACTAGTGGACAATACCACCAGGTCCTCTCCCTACCTCCCTTGCAGCTAGAAGGGTAGGCATGTGGCCCAGACTCCACTAATCAGATGCATCCGATTTACAACTGCAACCTTGCTTCCCGGAGAAGGAGGGTGGTGGCAGCAAGGACCAGGGACAGGAATATCGCATTTCTAGAGCAAGCAGCAGAAGGTGAAGCTGTCCAGCTGACTCAGCTGTGACCTTAGCCGCTGCCCTGACTCCCACCTTGCTCCCAAGAGCTCCCAGGATCCATCAGATAAATTCCATTGCTGCTTAAATCATCCTGGGCCAGTTTCTGTTGCATGCAAGGAAGAACCATCACCGATCCAGATGGCAACTGTGAAAACAAAGGCGGTGGGGAGGAAAAGTTGATATAAAAGCTGATAGCTGGAAGCCATCGCCAAGCAACACTGGCCAACATTCAAAAGGTGTGAAAGACACACTATCCCTTAACTATTGATTTCCACACTCAGATGCTCACACTGTCCTCCTCACCTCAACAAAAACAGGTCTTCCCTTCTAGTTGCTCTGGCCAGTAGTCCTGGAATCAGCTCTAATGCCTCTCTTACACCTCACAGCTAATCTATCAGGAGAGCTGGTTCAATTGCTTTGCAAGTTATATTCAGGACCAGTCATTTCCACGCACCTCCCAGTCTTCACTCTGGTCCAGGCACCATCACTTCTCTCCTGGGTTTATTGTACCAACTTATTCCTCCCTCTTCTCATCGCCCACCTTCTGCTTTTACCCCAGT